GCTGTTTTGGGGCCTCTTGGGGCCACTTTGGGCCTCTTCGGGGCTCGTGGGGGCCTCTTCAGGCTCTTTGGGAGACTCTCGGGGCATGAGGGCCTCATGGAGCAGCAAACTGGGACTGTCGATTTGCGTTCCGTTCCCCTAGTTTGGCGGCTTCTCGGGCCATCTTGGGGCTCCCTTGGGCTGCTTCGGGGCGCTCTTGGGTCGTCTTGGGGCCTTCTTGGCCGGTCCTGGAGCTGTCTTGGGAGCTCTTTGGCAGTTTTGGTGCGATCTTGGAGCATTTTTCGGCCGTCTTGGAGCGTTGGAAACTCGAAAACGCGAAAAGGCTTAAAACCTCAGAGAAAAAAGAAAATCAATAATTTGGGCCTCTTCGGGCGTTCCGGGACGCCTCTCGGAACTCTGCTGGGGCCTGTTGGAGACCTCCTGGGAGCCTGGAGAGCCGTCCTTTCGCGTTCTGGGGGCTCCTTGGGAGCGTCTTTGGCCGTCCTAGAGCGATTGGAGGGTCCCCCGCAAACGCCGTAGACCGCGTTACTGACTGGGGGTTGCCCCTAGATGTTCTGGAGGTGTGGGACGCTCCGGGGAGGGGGCGATGTTTTATACATGTGTGTATCTCTATATATATAGTTATATCTATATACATATATATATATACATATACATATACATATACACATACATATACACATACATATACATATACATATACATTTACATATACATATACATATACAGATACATATACATATACATATACATACACATATACATATACATGTACGTGCATACATACATACATACATACATACATACATACATACATACATACATACATACATACATACATACATACATACATACACACATATACATGCAAGGCTGCAGTGGCGCTTCGCGCCATGCACCTTGGTCCTTGAAGTTTGGCATGCTAGCGGAATGGCAGGAAAGCCCAGCCGACAATTTAGCGATAACTTCTTGTTGCCTTTTCCAGCATCGCCGTTATAATAATGTTATTACTTTCCTTCCTCCATGCTTCTTTTCCCCCTTCTCGCCATACCTTGCGCATGCTCCCCATCCTCCTCTGCTCTCTTTGCGAAGGCTCCTCCGTGGAGAACCCCAGGGGACTTCGCAAAAACAAATCACGTTTTCTGAAGACCTCCTGGAGGCCTCATGGGCGTGTTTTGGGGGCCTCTGGGGGTGTCCTCGGGTCACCCTGCCTCCAACCGCGGCCACCCTGCCTCCGACCGGGTCACGATTTGGAATGCTTCGGAGGGTGTTTTGGGGCCATCTTGGGCCGCCATGGGGCTCTCTTAATCTCGGACGCCCGGAGAACCACCGCCTTGGAGCGTCGGGAAGCCGAAAAGAGAAACCCACAACTTAAAAAAAAACCCAGAAAACAACATCAATGAATGTTGCTTCTTGGGGCGTTTTGGGAAGGTTCCTGGAGGCCTCTTGGAACGTTTTGGAACGATCTTTGGGGGTATGACGACTTCTTCGGGGTCGTCGTGGACCGCATTGGGGTTTTCTGGGGTCGTTTCGGGAGCGCGCCGGAACGCTTCGAACCCGTCTGGAACCGTCTTCGGGCTCCCGTAAAGTTTTCCCAAGTCGTCTGGGGGGTTGCCCAGAGGCCCAGGGAGGGCCAAATTCGTTGGGGGGGGAGGGGGGGCGTTTTTTCTGGCTTCCCCGGCCTTATAAAAGTAGATGTTTCGGAAGATGTGGCTATATATATATATATATATATATATATACACATACACATCATATATGTGTATGCAAATATGTATGCCTGCATACACTCATGTATGTATGTATGCATGCATGTGTATACATATATATATATAGAGGGAGAGAGAGAGAGAGATAATCACATTTACAGATACACATGTCTATACGATATACATATATACACACCTGTGTGTGTGTGCCTGTATGCGTGCGCGGGGCGGGTGTCAGCAAAAGCCGCCCCCCGTCCGTTTTCGATGCGCGACGCGCCCGCATTCCAAAAGTGGGGCGGACGCTGGCGTCGCTGGCTCAGTGAAAATCGTGCTTCTGTCTGTTTCGGGTGCGCCCCAGACGGGGGGGATCCGTTGCAGGGGGTTTGGATCGCATCATGGCCCGAGGAGTGTGTGCGAACGCAAGTGAGCCACGGGGCGCGTCGAGAGAAGGGGGGGTGCTCACGAGCCCTGGAACATTGCACGGCCCGGTCATGCTACCCACCCACACGCACGCACAAACACTCCCCCCTGTCCTCGACCACCCTGACTGGGAAGGGGGCGACGCCGCGCACTGGAACCAGAGCCGCCCACCAGCGGGGGACATGGCAACTGCAACACGGATGTCCTAACTCTGTATGATGCTGGACCGCACTAGAATGTGTGGACCCGACTCGGGGATATACGATCGGGAAACGCCCATCGACATCAGGGGCGGCGACGGATGATCCCCGCGGAAATGTCGGCTCGCGACTCATGAAAATAGTCCAGGCGCCTCGTCCTCTTCCTCCTCCTCCACTTCGTCCTCCTCCTTTTCCTCCTTTTCCTCCTCTTCCTCCTCCTCCTCCTCCTCCTCCTTTTCCTCCTCTTCCTCCTCCTCCTCCTCCTCCTCCTCCTCCTCCTCCTCCCCTCTTCCTCCTCCGCCTCTTCCTCCTCCTCCTCCTCCTCCTACTCGTACACCACCTCGTCCTCCTCCTCCTCCGTTTCCTCCTCCGCCTCCTCCTCCTCCTCCTTCTCCTGCCCCTCGCCCTCTTCCTCATCTTCCTCCTCCTCGTCCTCATCCTCCTCATCCTCCTCATCCTCTCCGCCGGGCCCTCCTGGAGATGAGGGCGGGGGATGACTTGTTGAACGCAAGCTCCTAGGATCACCTTCTACTCAACCTGACGTCTAGCACCAGCCACGCGCCAGGGCAACAGCCTCGACGACGACCATTCGGGAAAGCGCAGGCCGGACGAGCAAGCGAAGCCAGGGCCTCAACGAAACCTCGAGCCCGGAGCGGCCCACGGCCACAAGCCCAATGCAGCGGGCAGCGCGCACACGCAGGGCCCGCGAACGAACAAAGTCGCCTGCCCTCGGGTCAACGCCCGCATTTATCTTGCTGCGCACTGACAATTGCACTGCATTGCACTGCGTGGGCGTGCTACTCCTCGGAGGCATGCTGGTTGTCATCATCCGCGGCGAGGTGGCACCCCGAGCCATCCGAGCCCTGGCGCGCGTAACACTACTACTTTTGCGTGTGCAAATAAAAGTGTAGCGCCCCGCGGTATCTGTTCATCAGCCTCGGGAGGGGCGGGGTCCACCACTGATCAAGCACAAGCTGGCATTTTCCCCGTGCGTCCCCTCGTCTCAAAACGGACTGACTGTGCCCCCCCGTTTGTTTGGTCTTCCTGGCGCCGCCCGTCGCCAGAGGCGCCAATGTTCCGAGGGAAGCGCTCGGTGGCGGGGCCGCGACTGGTTGCACGCAGCACATTTCGCGACCGCCCCTTGCCTGTCCCAGCTGGTTGACTACCTACCAACCACCCCAACCCAACCCGAAGACCCGAATTTGACCCGAATTTCGGGTTGGGGGGGGTACGGCTTCCATGTGTTATGACCATGCTCCCCGACCCCCCCCCCACTGGAAATGGAGGGCAAGCTGAAGCCTTCGGGTTGGGCTGGGGTGGTTTGGTGGGTGGTGACTTATCGTCGAGCCCGAAACCGGGGCCCAAAGTCCTCGCCCCCGTCTGAGGGGCGACCCTGGACGGCGGGCGCCGTGTTTCAAGCCAGCCTCGGGGGGGCCATTGCCGTCATAGCACCAGCGCGGCTCGAGGTAGATGCCTCAGGAAGATGGAGATTCGGGCCTCGTGGTCGGCATCGTGTTTCTCGGCGCCGGTTTCTATTCTCGACGTCGTGGCCCTCTTGCGGCGCATATGGCCTCGGGGTAACCACAAGGACCTCTGGCGACCTCGATTGACCTCCAGAGAATTGCTCCTCCCTACTCGTCCTCCCCGTCCTGACCACAACCACCACCATCATGATAATCATCAGCAGCAGACTTTTCAGCATCGTCATTATCATTCCCCTCCTCCTCCTCCTCCCCCTCTTCCCGCTCCTCATCCTATTCCTCCTCCTCCTCTCCCGGTCCTGCCCCTATTTTTTGTATTATCCTCTCCCTCCTCCTCCTCCTCCTCCTCCTCATAATCATCATCATCATCATCATCATCATCAGCAGCAGCAGCAGCAGCATCATCACCACCACCACCATCACCATCATCATCATCATCATCATCATCATCAGCAGCAGCAGCAGCAGCAGCAGCAGCAGCAGCAGCATCATCATCATCATCATCATCATCATCATCATCATCATCATCATCATCATCATCATCATCATCAATCAGCATCATCTATACAATCATATAATCATCATCACCACACATCACCACACCACACCAGCCACCTCCACCACCACCACCACCTAATCATACATATCTCATCATCATCATCATCAGGCGTATCTTCATCATTCATCATCATTGCAACTGTCCTCATGCCCTCATCTAATGCATAGCATCATCATATTAGTCATCATCCTCATCCACCATTGTCACTTCTATCATCTTCATCTTCGTCATCATCATCATCCATCATCTATCAGATTCATCATCATCTTGCTCTATCATCATCATCATTATCATCATCATCATCACCATCATCATCATCATCATCATCATCATCATCATCATAAATATCATCATCATCATCATCAGCTTCAGCATCAGCATCATCATCATCATGATCAGCATCGTCATCATCAGCATCAGAATCAGCATCAGCAGCATCAGCATCGCCTTCGTCATGATAATCATCATCATCATCATCATCAGAATCATCATCATCAGCATCATCATCAGCATCAGCATCAGCATCAGCACCAGCACCAGCATCATCATCATCATCATCATCATCATCATCATCATCATCATCATCATCATCTCAACTATTATCGCTGGCAGCGCGCGCGGCAGCTCGCGCCGAGGTAAATGAGGCCAGTCATGTCGGTCTCCACTTTCACCTCCAGAGAAGCGAGACGAATTTGCAGGACAGGCGTTGCGAGCGCTCTATCTTGGCGGGGTGCGACCAAGAGAAACTGCCTAGACTCCAAAACGTGTCGACCCAGCAAATAAAGACCTCCTCGACCTCTTCCTCCTCCTCCTCCTCCTCCTCCTCCTCCTCCTCCTCCTCCGCATTCCATCCCGAACTCGTCTGGTGCACGCAGAATCGCAATGATTACACGATGCTCGGCTTGAACGCACCACCGCAGATCTGCGACCACCGTTGCGTTACTGAGCCTGGTCCACAGGAGGATCTCACGTGGCGCGCGCGCGCGCGCAAGCGCGCGCGCAAGCGCGGTTGAAAGGTCTCTGCCCCCGCAATGCCTCTGGAGGCCTCGAGAGCGCCCAAACGTCCAGGCAACTCTATTCCCCCATGCTCCATACCCTCGCCGTGGCGGCGCAATGTCTGGGTGCGCCGAAGAGGGTGGCCCGAGGAAGGGGGGACCATCATGGCCAAAGGCACGTGAGCGGATGATGAGAGGGGGGCCCGGGGGGGCGTGCTGGAATGAGGAGAACAGTACAAAAGACGAAGAAGAGCATCAGAAGAAGACGAACCAGACGCACACGTATCGACGCAGCGACAACGAAGCAACTGCACCCATCCTGGGCAGGCCCATCCTGGGCCCGGCATCGGCGCATAACCCCCTCCCGGCCTGGCCAGGGAGACGTCTGCACCGATCCTGGCGCCACGACGGGTCTTGCCTGGCGCAGAGGTGGGCTCAGACACGGGGGGGAGACACAGAGAAGCAGCGGCCAGAACAGCGAGGCCGGACCCCGCAGCCTCGAGGCTCCAGGAGGCCGAGCAGGACACGGGGGGAACACACC